TGCGAACTGATATGCTCCAAAGGTATCCATGTGAGATGATAGAATACAGAGATACAGTGTGGGGACTGGAGCTTTCGAAGTATCTCCACTTGCCTATTGTTTTCGTTATGAGTCCTTCAAAGTCGTCTTATATGGTCAGTGCGATCGTATCTGCTATAGCTGTAGGCATGTCAGATGCTAGAATACGGAGTTACAGTGTTAGCATAGTCGGGGTCGAAGTTTTTTGTTCTGCCTGTTGTGTGCGTTATACCTGCTTCGATGTCGTCTTATATACTAGTTGCGAACTCATATGCTCCAGAGGTATCCATGTGAGATGTTAGAATACTGAGATACGGTATGCAGACTGATGTGGTCGAAGTATCTCCACTTGCCTATTGTTCTCGTTGTATGTCCTTCGGAGTCGTACTATATGGTCAGTGCGATCGTATCTGCAATTACTGTAGGCATGTCAGATGCAAGAATGCGAAGTTACAGTGGAAACATAGTCGAAGTCGAAGTTTCTTGCTCTTTTTGTTGTTAGCGTTATTTTGATTCAGAAAACACTCGACAATGTCTACCTATAAGATGTATAACCGACTTATTATCAAGATTGATAAATTCGAAGTTTTGGCGAACACGCCGGTTTACCGACTCTTGATTGTTGGAATCGAAGTATCTGGTGGATATGAAAAAGTATAGTACTCCACTCACATATAATGAGCTTTCATAAATACTCCTTGAATAGGCATTCAAGAAGCTAGAATGCAGAGTTACAAAGTAAACATAGTCGAAGTCAAAGTTTCTTGTTCTGCCTGTTGTGTACGTTATACCCGCTTCGATGTCGTCTCATATGATCGCTGCGAACTTATATGCTCCAGAGGTATCTTCGTGAGATGATAAAATACAGAGATACAGTGTGCAGACTGATGTTGTCAAAGTATCTTCACTTGCCTATTGTTCTCGTTATATGTCCTCTGAAGTCGTCCTATATGGTCAGTGCGATCGTATCTGCTATAACTGTAGGCATGTCAGATGCTAGAATGCAAAGTTACAGTGTAAATAAAGTCGAAGTCGAAGTTTCTTGTTCTGCCTGTTGTGTGCGTTATACCCGTTTTGATATCGTCTCATATGATGGTTGCGAACTGATATGCTCCAAAAGTATCTATGTAAGATGATAAAATACAGAGATACAGTGTGCAGACTGATGTTGTCGAAGTATCTTCATTTGCCTATTGTTCTCGTTATAAGTTCTTCAAAGTCGTCTCATATGGTCAGTGCGATCGATCGCATCTGCTATACCTGTAGGCATGTCAGATGCTAGAATGCGAAGTTACAGTGAAGACAGAGTCGAAGTCGAAGTTTCTTGTTCTGCCTGTTGTGTGCGTTATATCCGCTTCGATGTCGTCTTATATAATAGTTGCGAACTCATATGCTCCAATGGTTTCCATGTGAGATGATAGAATACAGAGATACAGTGTGCGGAATGATGTTGTCGAAGTATCTTTATTTGCCTATTGTTCTCGTTATAAGACGTCTCATATGGTCAGTGCGATCGCATCTGCTATAACTGTAGGCATGTCAGATGCTAGAATGCAAAGTTACAGTGTAAATATAGTCGAAGTCGAAGTTTATTGTTCTGCCTGTTGTATGCGTTATACCCGTTTTGATGTCGTCGCATATGATCGTTGCGAACTACCATGCTACAAAGGTATTCATGTGGAATGTTAGAATACAGAGATACAGTGTGCAGACGGATGTCGAAGTATCTTTACTTGTCAGTAGTTCTCGTGATATGTCCCACGAAGTCGTCTTATAATATGGTCAGTGCAATCGTATCTGCTATAGCTGTAGGCATGTCAGATGCTAGAATACGGAGTTACAGTGTTAGCATAGTCGGGGTCGAAGTTTCTTGTCCTGCCAGTTGTGTGCGTTATACCTGCTTCAATGTCGTCTAATTTAAAAGTTGCGAACTCATATGCTCCAGAGGTATCCATGTGAGATGATAGAATACTGAGATACGGTATGCAGACTGATGTGGTCGGAGTATCTTCACTTGCCTATTGTTCTCGTTGTATGTCCTTCGGAGTCGTACTATATGGTCAGTGCGATCGTATCTGCAATTACTGTAGGCATGTCGGATGCAAAAATGCGAAGTTACAGTGGAAACATAGTCGAAGTTTTTTGCTCTTTTTGTTGTAAGCGTTATTTTGATTCAGGAAACACTCGACAATGTCTACCTATAAGATGTATAACCGACTTATTATCAAGATTGAGAAATTCGAAGTTTTGGCGAACACGCCGGTTCACCGACTCTTGATTGTTGGAATCGAAGTTTCTGGTGGATATGAAAAAGTATAGTACTCCACTCACATATGATGAGCTTTCATGAATACTTCTTTAATAGGCATTCAAGAAGCTAGAATGCAAAGTTACAAAGTAAACATAGTCGAAGTCAAAGTTTCTTGTTCTGCCTGTTGTGTACGTTATACCCGCTTCGATGTCGTCTCATATGATCGTTGCGAACTTATATGCTCCAGAGGTATTTATGTGAGATGATGAAATACAGAGATACAGTGTGCAGACTGATGTTGTCAAAGTATCTTCACTTGCCTATTGTTCTCGTTATATGTCCTCTGAAGTCGTCCTATATGGTCAGTGCGATCGTATCTGCTATAACTGTAGGCATGTCAGATGCTAGAATGCCAAGTTACAGTGTAAATATAGTCGAAGTCGAAGTTTCTTGTTCTGCCTGTTGTGTGCGTTATACCCGTTTTGATGTCGTCTCAAATGATGGTTGCGAACTGATATGCTGCAAAAGTATCTATGTAAGATGATAAAATACCGAGATACAGTGTGCAGACTGATGTTGTCGAAGTATCTTTATTTGCCTATTGTTCTCGTTATAAGTTCTTCAAAGTCATCTCATATGGTCAGTGCGATCGCATCTGCTATACCTGTAGGCATGTCAGATGCTAGAATGCGAAGTTACAGTGTAGACAGAGTCGAAGTCGAAGTTTCTTGTTCTGCCTGTTGTGTGCGTTATACCCGCTTCGATGTCGTCTTATATAATAGTTGCAAACTCATATGCTCCAAAGGTTTCCATGTGAGATGATAGAATACAGAGATACAGTGTGCGGAATGATGTTGTCGAAGTATCTTTTTTTGCCTATTGTTCTCGTTATAAGTCCTTCAAAGTCGTCTTATATGGTCAGTGCGATCAGATCTGCTAGAACTGTAGGCATGTCAGATGCTAGAATGCAAAGTTACAGTGTAGACATAGTCGAAGTCGAAGTTTCTTGTTTTGCCTGTTGTGTGCGTTATACCCGTTTTGATGTCGTCTCATATGATCGTTGCGAACTACCATGCTACAAAGGTATTCATGTGAAATGTTACAATACAGAGAAACAGTGTGCAGACGGATGTCAAAGTATCTTCACCTGTCAGTTGTTCTCGTTATATGTCCCACGAAGTCGTCTTATATGGTCAGTGCGATCGTATCTGCTATAGCTGTAGGCATGTCAGATGCTAGAATGCGGATTTACAGTGTTAACAAAGTCGGGGTCGAAGTTTCTTGTTCTGCCTGTTGTGTGCGTTATACCTGCTTCGATGACGTCTTATATAATAGTCGCGAACTCATATGCTCCAGAGGTATCCATGTGAGATGTTAGAATACTGAGATACGGTATGCAGACTGATGTGGTCGAAGTATCTCCACTTGCCTATTGTTCTCGTTGTATGTCCTTCGAAGTCGTACTATATGGTCAGTGCGATCGTATCTGCAATTACTGTAGGCATGTCAGATGCAAGAATGCGAAGTTACAGTGGAAACATAGTCGGAGTCGAAGTTTCTTGCTCTCCCTGTTGTAAGCGTTATTTTGATTCAGGAAACACTAGACAATGTCTACCTATAAGATGTATAACCGACTTATTATCAAGATTGATAAATTCGAAGTTTTGGCGAACACGCCGGTTTACCGACTCTTGATTGTTGGAATCGAAGTTTCTGGTGGATATAAAAAAGTATAGTACTCCACTCACATATAATGAGCTGTCATATATACTTCTTGAATGGGCATTCAAGAAGCTAGAATGCAAAGTTACAAAGTAAACATATTCGAAGTCAAAGTTTCTTGTTCTGCTGCGAACTTATATGCTCCAGAGGTATCTATGTGAGATGATAAAATACAGAGATACAGATACAGACTGATGTTGTCATAGTATCTTCACTTGCCTATTGTTCTCGTTATATGTACTCTGAAGTCGTCCTATATGGTCAGTGCGATCGTATCTGCTATAACTGTAGGCTTGTCAGATGCTAGAATGCAAAGTTACAGTGTCAATATAGTCGAAGTCGGAGTTTCTTGTTCTGCCTGTTGTGTGCGTTATACCAATTTTGATGTCGTCTCATATGATCGATGCGAACTGATATGCTCCAGAGGTATCTATGTAAGATGATAAAATACAGAGATACAGTGTGCAGACTGATGTTGTCAAAGTATTCTCACTTGCCTATTGATCTTGTTATATGTCCTTCGGAGTCTTTCTATATGGTCAATGCGATCGTATCGGTTTCCACTGTATGCATGTCAGATGCTAGAATTCAGAGCCACAGTGTAAACATAGTCGGAGTTTCTTGTTCTCCCTTCTTTATGCGTCATTTCTGTTTCGATGTCGTCTCAAATGATCGTTGCGAACTGATATGCTCCAAAGGTATGCATGAGAGATGATAGAAAACAGAGATATGTCGTGCGGACTGATGTTGTCGAAGTATCTTAATTTGCCTATTGTTCTCGTTATAAGTCCTACAAAGTCGTCCTTGGGTTTGGGCATAACCTAAAGGCGCGTCTCCAAGGTGGCGGATAGGAGGACGGCCAGGGCCTCACGGCCTTGGTTAGTGGTAGCTATACGTAGGGTGCGGAGGCCTAAAAACTTCCAAAATTCTTTGCCAAAATTTACCACCGCGGACCAGCCCACGGCACAAACCGTAAACCGTTCGTGATTGCAACGACCCACAGGACGCCATGGTGTCCGGTGGTATGCGTCACGAGGGGCACGGGGGTCTTGGCTTAATCGCCTGGGCCGCGTGGTGAGGCCACTCTAAAAACCTCCCCTAATCCTAAGGTATTGTGCGCGCCGAAGGGATGGATGGTCGAGGGGAACTCGACCATTAGCGGCAAAACTCTGGGAAACAGGCGCACCCAGTTTTATAAAGCCTTCCACACGTGCAGGGGGCACCGCGTGTGGCGACGTTTATGTCCCCCTTACTCGTGGGAACAACATGGACCACAATAAAACAACAAAAGAAAAACCTGGACGAGGTGGTCAAATCTCGTCCTTGGAAGACTCTTCGGAGTCTAACGAAACCCCTGCCCGGAAGGTATCCACTGAGGAGACCTCCCAACACCCAGCACAGGAGGACGTCACATCGATGACCTCCACTCCTCCCTCAACCCTGGAGGCTGCCACCCAGGCGACCTCCAGCTCCCTAACCCCAACGGGCGCACCGACGCCTGTTGCTCCCGAAACTGACCCCTCGTCAAAACCCGGCACATCTGAGGATCTCTCTCGAGACTCGGACGTGTCTGATCTGGCCTCGGATTTCTCGAAGGTTAAGGTGAAAAGGCCCTGTGGTGCTGAAAGGAAGAGGAGGAAGAAAGAGAGGGAAAAGGAAGCAATCAAAGCGCCTTCGTCCTCTCAGGGAACTTCCTCGAAATTCCTTGGCGCGAAAACAGTGGCCGAGAGACGGCCTAAGGATGACCTTAGGGGAGCGCAAGGGAAACCTGGAAGGGGTGGGCCTCAAAGAAGATCCACTGCAGAAGGTAAACCTGCTGTGCACCCTAAGGCTGTCAAGGCCAAGAACAATGCGTCAGGAATGACGCAATCAACAAAACGGAGCCGCACGCCGGGTTCCACACCGACTGACACCTCGCGAGTGGCGAAGCGACCCCGGTCTGGTACTGTAGACGCAGGGCGGACGCATACGGGGCAGCCAAGCTACTCGCAGGTGGCAGCCGCAGATAGGACCCTGCAGGTGGTCATCAGCCGCGAAGGGCAACCTGAAGCGGAATTTACTGAGGACCAGATGCTGGAGTTCCTAGATGCTGTTGGAGGGGTGATCATGGGGACGCCAACGGCGTCCAATGATCCACCCCCGCAGTTCACATCAACGCGGTTATGGCGTAGGCAACTGCTGGTAACCGCAGCAAACGAGGCCTCCAGAGATTGGCTCCTCAGGAGTCTGACAGAAATCAGACCCTGGGAGGGCGTAACTCTGGTTGCCATCGACCCAGAGCAATTCAGGCTCCAAAGGACCGTTGTTAGAATTCCAGGGAGGCTGCCTAACCAGGACATACTGAGTGTCCTGGAAAGGCAGAATCCCAACCTGTCCACCTCTCAGTGGAGAGTCTGGAACAGGAGGGAGGAAAAACGCGGTCTAACGTTGATAGTTGGGATGGACAGTAAGTCCATAGCAGCTATCGAGGAGGCTGGGAGCTCTTTGTTCTTCAGTGCCTCGCAGGCACAGGTGAGCTGGGGGTCCAAGGAAGACCGGGAAGGAGAGAAGCCAGAGGCGTCCGAAGAAATGGATGCCTCTGAGACAGCAGAGGACACAACTCTGACAGAGGACTGCCCAGGTCGTCCTCTGGTGGAGAGAAGTCCGGAAGAAGAGGGACGTGGCGAAAGCCATGCCCCTCCGGACGGGAAGAGCGACTAGGTCATCAAATGGCGACCCATAAGTCCTCTTCCCTGAGCTTCCTGCAGGCTAACTTACAGCATGGGAGAGCCTCCACGGCTCTCCTATGCAGGAGGTTAAGGGAGCTCAAAATAAATCTGGCACTCATTCAGGAACCTTGGGTACACCAAGACAGAGTGAGAGGAATGGAGCAAGCGGGAGGGACACTGTATTACAGCACCTCTAGCCCGAAGCCAAGAGCATGCATATACGCGAAAGGTGTTAACGCGACTATGCTACCAGGATTCTGCTACAGAGACCTGGTAGCGATCAGAATCAAGGTTGACAGTACAACAGAGGAAAGCATGAGTGACATTATAGTATGCTCAGCCTACTTCCCTTACGAAATGGCAAACCCTCCTCCTGAGGTAGGGAGTCTTGTAAGGCACTGTGAGGAGATAGGACTGCCCTTGATGATTGGATGCGACGCGAACTCGCATCATACACTGTGAGGGAATCGCGACGTCAATCCGAGAGGCAGGGCATTTCTGGAATTTCTGAGCTCCAGTAATCTGGAGATCCTTAATAGAGGAACAGTGCCAACATATTTCACGCCTATAGCGCGGACAATCGTTGACCTGACGTTATGCTCAACAGAGCTAACAGGTAGGGTCAGTAACTGGCGTGTGTCGACGGAGGAAAGTCTGTCTGATCACCGTCATATATTGTTTTCAGTAACAGGCCATATCCAAGAGGAAAACCGATGGTTCAGAAACCCCAGAGCTACCAGATGGAACCTCTACCGATAGGAGCTTGAAGGTAGACTCTGGAACATGCCATCACGATATGGCTCTGAAGCAGAAATATAGACATTCGTAGGATGTCTCAATTCTGCCATAGTCGAAGCATACGAAGCCAGCTGTCCCCTGAAAAGGACAGACTGTCTAGGCAAAACACCATGGTGGAATTCAAAAATTGAACTCCATCGGAAGAAAGTCCGAAAGCTGTTGAATAAAGCCAAAAGAACAGAAAAACGGGCCCACTGGGAAGAGTACAAACTGGCCCAGAGGGAATTCAAAAGAGCGATCCGCGATGCTCGCAGGGACTCGTGGAGAGCGTACTGCCAAGGAATAAATACTGTTCCTGAGGCGGCAAGGCTCAACAAAGTTCTCTCCAAGGACCCGAGGGCTAAGCTGGGGACGGTGACCCTTCCCGATGGGAGCTACACCTCATCGGATGGAGGGACGCTACAGCATATGCTTTCCACGCACTTTCCAGGTTGCACCTTTCTGCAGCCTGATTCTGAGGCTGTCACCTCAGTCGAAGCTCGGATCGACTTCACGATAGCCTCAAAAATTGTAACATATGACAGAGTGAAATGGGCAATCGAATCCTTTTCACCCTTCAAATCACCAGGTGAGGATGGAATCTGTCCGGCCCTTTTACAACAGGGACTGGACATCCTCATTCTACATCTCCTGAAGATCTTCAGAAGCTGCCTGGCACACGGGTATGTCCCCAAGGCCTGGAGAACAGCTATAGTGATCTTCATACCGAAGCCTGGAAAAATTGATTTCACGCAGGCAAAATCGTTTCGGCCCATCAGTCTCACATCGTTTTTGTTAAAGGCGTTAGAAAAACTGGTAGATCGTCACATCAGAGAGGGGCCACTGAGCGAATCACCACTTAGTGACCTTCAATTTGCGTACCAAAGTGGTAGGGGTACTGACGCGGCTCTTCATCGACTCGTTCATAGAGTTGAGGGGGTGTTAGATCGCAAGGACTCTGCCCTTGGGATATTTATAGACATTGAGGGAGCATTTGACAATACATCATTTGACTCTATATGTCGTGCAGCGGAGGAGAGGGGTGTTAGTCCAATTTTGATAAAGTGGATACACGCACTCCTCTCGAGAAGGATAGTGAGAGCCACTCTTCAAAACAGCCTCGAGGAGGCCGTTGTATCAAGAGGCTGCCCGCAGGGAGGGGTGCTATCACCCCTTCTATGGTGCCTCGTCGTGGACGACCTCCTATTGAAGATACATAGCATGGGATACTATATCCAGGCTTACGCAGATGACATAGTCATCCTGATCGACAGTAGGGGGTTCACTCCCAGTCGGAGACAGGCACAACGGGCCCTGGACGGGGTGGACCGCTGGTGTCGTAGCACGGGGCTAAGAGCTAACCCTGAAAAGGCGGAAGTAGTACTTTTCACCAGAAAACGCAAGGCAGGGGACCTCCCCGATATACGACTATCGGGCAAGTCCCTGCGGTATAAAGGCTCCACCAAATATCTAGGAGTCATTCTTGACTCTAGGCTCAATTGGAACGAGCATATTGAGAGGAAGGTCCAGAAGGCTACGGCAGCGTTCTGGGCGTGCAGAAGGACGTTTGGGGGAACGTGGGGGCTCAAGCCAAGTATCCTTCACTGGGTGTACACCGCTCTCATACGTCCAATGATAACATATGGGGCCATCGTATGGTGGCCGGGGACGCTGACAGGCAAGTCGAGGAGTCAGCTCGACAGAGTTCAACGACTGGCCAGCATATCCATAACAGGAGCAATGAGGACGGCGCCGACAAGGGCGTTGGAGACTCTGACCAGACTGCCGCCTCTGAACCTGTATATAGAACATGAGGCGATGAAGGCCGCCGTTCGCTTACAAAGCTGTAACCAGTGGAGGAGCGAAGGAACATACGGACATTCTCGCCTCTGGAAGCAAATTACAGACGACTACCCCTCACTCAGTATGAAAGGGGACAGCATAACACCGATCATTCGATTCAGGAAAATGCCCCAAGTCAAGATTCCTACTAGGATAGACTGGGAACAGAATGGGCACTGCATAATACCCACCAAGGGCATCATCTGGTATACAGATGGCTCCAGGATGGAAGAATGCGCAGGTGCTGGGGTCTATGGGCAGTTTTCAAGGGCAAATCACTGCTATACCCTTGGGAAACATGCCACGATTTTTCAGGCTGAAGTATTTGCAATACTTGCATGTGTTCGAGAGAATATCGAGAGGGGCTATCACAGCCAGCAAATCACTATATGCACTGACAGCCAGGCGGCGATCAAGGCGCTCACCTCGTATAGGGTGACCTCCGCCTTGGTGTCAGAGTGCATAGATAGCCTACAAAGGTTGTCAGCAACGAATGAGGTATGTCTTTTGTGGGTCCCTGGGCACTCAGGGGTACCAGGTAACGAAATGGCCGATGGTCTGGCCAGAAAGGGGGCGAAAGGTTCAGTGATTGGCCCAGAGCCAATCTTAGGGGTCACTCGATCCTGGAGCAACTCCAAGATGAAGGAAATCCTGACGGAAAAGGTTCAGGACAGCTGGAGAAAGGCTCCTCGAATGAGGCAGTCCAAACTCCATATAGGAAACCCGTCACGAAGACAGACCAATGCCCTCTTGGCTTTGAACAGGAAGGAGCTGAAACTGGTGGTGGGCCTGCTGACAGGGCACTGCCACCTGAACAAACATCTCAGCATGATCGGGATTGTGGAGGATCCAGAATGCAGATGGTGCCTAGAGGATGAAGAGACTTCTACTCACATCCTCACTGAATGCCCGGCAATAGTGGCATATCCATTTTGGGAGCAGTATCCTGGACCCAGAGGATGTTAAGATGATTTGGCCTAGGAAGTTGGTCTCTTTTGCTCGCGAGATCGGCCTTCTCCATGGCTGACTTGCGATCCCAGGAATGTGGGTGCACAATGGGCCCGAAAAGGGAGGCCTAAGTGCGTCAGGTCCCGGACCGCCCACACACATACATACATACAGTCGTCTCATATGGTCAGTGCGATCGCATCTGCTATAACTGTAGGCATGTCAGATGCTAGAATGCGAAGTTACAGTGTAGACATAGTCGAAGTCAAAGTTTCTTGTTCTGCCTATTGTGTGCGTTATACCCGCTTCGATGTCGTCTTATATAATAGTTGCGAACTCATATGCTACTGAGGTATTCATGTGGGATGATATGATACAGAGATACAGTGTGCGGAATGATGTTGTCGAAGTATCTTTATTTGCCTATTGTTCACGTTATAAGACCTTCAAAGTCGTCTCATATGGTCAGTGCGATCGCATCTGCTATAACTGTAGGCATGTCAGATGCTAGAATGCAAAGTTACAGTGTAAATATAGTCGAAGTTCATTGTTCTGCCTGTTGTGTGCGTTATACCCGTTTTGATGTCGTCGCATATGATCGTTGCGAACTACCATGCTACAAAGATATTCATGTG